TAGTTCACAATCTAGCGTCCTATAATTCAACAACCTAGAACCCGCAACTCATAATTTACAACGCAAACCCCACAACCGACACTAACAAATCTTACAACCCACACACACCGGCAACCCCACAATCTACACCCCGAAACCCACAACCTACACACCCCGGCACTCCACAACCCACACACCCCAGCAACCCCACAACCCACACACCCCGAACCCGGCAAACCCCACAACCCACACACCCCGGCAACCCCACAACCCACACACCCCGGCAACCCCACAACCCACACACCCCGGAACCCCCAACCCACACACCCGGCAACCCCACAACCCACAACCCCCAACCCCACAACCCACACCCCAACCCCACAAACCCACACACCCCGGCAACCCCACAAACCCACACACCCCAACCCCACAACCCACACACCCCGGCAACCCACAACCACACACCGGCAACCCACAACCCACACACCCCGGCAACCCCACAACCCACACCCCACCCCACACCCACACACCCCGGCAACCCCACAACCCCACACACCCCCAACCCCACAACCCACACAACCCCACAAACCCCACAACCCACACACCCCAACCCCACAACCTACACACCCTGGCAAACCCACAACCCACACACCCGGCAACCCCACAACCCACACACCCCGGCAAACCCCACAACCCCACACCCCGGCACCCCACAACCACACACCACCGGCAACCCCACAACCCACACACCCCGGAAACCCCACAACCCACACACCACGGCAACCCACAACCCACACATCCCGGAAACCCCACAACCCACACACCCCGGCAACCCCACAACCCACACACCCCGGCAACCCACAACCCACACAACCCCCACAAACCCACACACCCCGGCAACCCCACAACCCACACACCCGGCAACCCCACAACCCACACACCACACCCCACAACCCAACACACCCCGCAACCCCACAACCCACACACCACAACCCCACAACCCACACACCCCGGCAACCCCACAACTCACACACCTCGGCAAACCCACAACCCACACACCCCGCACCCCACAAACCACACACCCGGCAACCCCACAACCCCACAAACCCCGGCAACCCCACAACTCACACACCCGGCAACCCCACACACCCCGGCAACCCCACAACCCACACCCTGGCAAACCCACAACCCCACACACCCCGGCAACCCCACAACCCACACAACCCCGGCAACCCACAACCCACACACCCGGCAACCCACAACCCACACACCCGGCAACCCCACAACCCACACCACCCCGGCAACCCCACAACCCACACACCCCGGCAACCCCACAACCCACACCACCCAGGCAACCCCACACCATCACACCCCAGAAACCCCACAACCACACCACCCCGGGCAACCCCAACCCCCAACCCACACACCCGGCAACCGCACACCACACACCAGGGCACCCACANTAGATGAAAACAGGGGATGTGGACACGTAACACGGACCCAAAAAATATTAAGATTGGAACGTACATGGTATACTACAAAAAAGTTACAGACGTATAAAATAATAATACACAACACAACCATACATATGTTAGAGACACCATACACAAATGAATAAGTGTACAATTTCACACACAGACGTTGAATTGCCGTATTGGTGTGCGTGTGCAATGACCGAGAGGCTGAAGCAGAGAGACGAGAGAGGTGAGAGAGAGAGAGACAGAGAGAAAGAGACGAGAGAGAGAGAGAGAGAGAGAGAGAGAGAGAGAGAGAGAGAGAGAGAGAGAGAACGAAAAAAGAGAAAGAAAAAGAAAACGAAAAAGGAAAAAGAGACAGAAAACAAGACCGAAAGCAAAAAAAGAAAAAGTTGACCCAACAGACAAAATATCCCCAAAACAGCAAAACGCTCAAAAATAAAGCCCTGAATAATAACGAAAGATAATGAACCTCCGTAATGAACCTGAACAAGTGACTGCTCTCGGAGAAGAACACCAGAGAGTTTGGGCCCCGGTCTGTTTGCCTTGGCTTAATTGCTTCGTATCTTTCGTCGTGACAATGGCTCTCTTCCTTTTTATTAAATTTCCTTTGCGTTCTTTTCTTGCGTTATTTCTTCTCTTCAGGGATCCTATCTTGTATATATATTTCTTTTATGTTGATTTTCTGTATCTTTCAATTACTTGATTCTCTTCTCCATCCTTTATTCTCTTCATATTTACTGTTGCTAACCAATATTTTCACCCTAGATATATGATTGCTTTTTTTTTTTTTGTCTCTGTTTTCATCCACCCCTTTCACACTTATACATTCACCTCGTTGTGTTTTATTTATTCATTTATGATTTATATTCCCCGCAATGCACCTCCGCACTTGAAATTCATTACTGTTTGCATATTGCATGCAACATTCATGCATGGATGGAGACACACACGCACACACACACGCGCATACACACACACACATACACACACACACACACGCACAAACACACACCACACACACACACGCACACACATCCATTCCAACACGAACCATCGACCTAACAGAACTTTCGCCTTGCGATATAAACATGCCTTTAAGACGACGTTCCTTATGACGTTTCTTACGGAAGTTCCCTTGTAGATCTTCCTTTAAGAAGCTCCTTGAAGACGTTCCCTCACACGTTCCTCCTCGTTGCAGGCGGTGACCCAAGAACGGCGTCGATACGGGTTCATCCTGGAGAGACAGTGCTCCCTCGCTAAGCACTACCTGGCTTACCACGGGAAGGGCTCCTCGCTCCTGCAGCACACGCTGGACAAGTGGCAGGAGGTGTCCAAGACGCGCGAGACGCTGCCCGACAGGATCCAGTGCATGCTGCCCACGTCTCGGCCGAGGGTAAGGCGCCCTGGGGCTCTGGGGGGCGGGGCCGAGGGCTCCCGGGTGGGAGGCCGCCCCTCCACGCCCAGCTCTTTGTAGGCCTGGCCTATATTATTATATATATATATATAATATATATATATATATATATATATATATATATATATATGTATATGTGTGTGTGTGTGTTGTGTGTGTGTGTGTTGTGTGTGTGTGTGTTGTGTGTGTTGTGTTGTGTGTGTTGTGTGTGTGTGTGTGTATTATATATATATCATATATATACATGTGTATATATAATATATGTGTATATATATATATAATATATATATATATAATATATAATATTATATATATATATATATATATATATATATATATATATATATATATATATATATATATATATATATATATTATATATATTATACATACATAAACACACACACACATATCTGTCTATCTATCTATTTTTTTTTTATCTCTCTATATATACATATATGTATTATAAAATTTACTCGATTGTTGAATATTAATAACTTCCAATAAACATCCAACTTAATTTACAAAACTCCAGTGGAAGTAATCTAAAAAATCCGTTACCATTAAATAAATGGAGACCAGATCTTACACTTATTGTACTGCTTCTCAGCGCCCAGAATATGACATTATAGAAGCCTCTCATAGCTGTCAGGGAATGAGGTGGGTTCTCATCTGCTTAAAAGGGCCGCGATCCTTTGCTCTGAGGCGATTGGGTGGGATTCGGCGGACGCGAAGGTGGGCAGAAATAATACATTTGGGTAAGTAGGGAGACGGAAAGTATGCAAGAGCGTGAAAGTGTGTGTGTGTGGGTGTGTGGGGTGGGGGTGGGGGTTGGTTGTGTGGGGAGGGGGGGTGTGGGGGGGGAGGGTTGTGTGTGTGTGGGGGTGTGGTGGGGGAGGGAGGGGGGTTGTGTGTGTGTGGACGTTGTGTGTGTGTGTGGTGTGGTGTGTGTGTGTGTGTGTGTGTGTTGTGTTGTGTGTGTGTGTGTGTGTGTGTGTGTGTGAGTGTGAGTGTGTGTGGTGTGGTGTGAGAAGTGAGAGAAGGAGAGAGAGAAGGAGAGAGAGAGGGAGAGGAGAGGGAGAGGGAGAGGGAGAGGGAGAGGGAGAAGGAGAGAGAGAGAGAGAGAGAGAGAGAGAGAGAGAGAGAGGAGAGAGGAGGAGAGAGAGAGAGAGAGAGAGAGAGAGAGAGAGAAGAGAGAGAGAGAGATGAGAGAGAGGAGTGAGAGAGAGAGAGAGAGAACTAGAGGACAAAGACAGATAATCAACTAGACAGACAGAAACAGAGAGATAAACAAAAATAGATAGATACCCAAAGATAGAGATAGAAAGACAAACTAATACACAAAGATACAAAATAGATCTTCAGAGACAGAAGAAACAAACACAGAAATACACAACAGATAACAACGATAAAATAAAACGAAAAAAAAAAAAAAGAAAAAATTTCCCCCTCTCCAAACCCAGAAAAAATCCCCACCCTTTCTAAAGAGACAGAAGAAAGAAAAAACAAACAAACAGAAACACACAAAAACTCCTACTAACAACAACAACAACAAAAAAAAACGAAAAATTCCGTCCCCAAATCCAAAAAAGGAAAACCTTTCTACAACGCGCCCGAAGTGACGCCCCCCCCCCCTTCCTCCCGCAGGACACGGAAGGGATCTACTCGACGCCCCTGTGCCTGGACGACGATGCCATGTCGGTGACCTCTCAGATGCGGAAGGCTCGCTCGGTCGACGCCTCCTGCCTCGACCTCAGCTCCATCGTCGACGAAATGCCCTCGCGACCTATCACTCGAGCGCGTTCGGAGTTCAACCTCGACCACCGCACCACGCGTGAGTTTGAGGGGGATCTCAAGGGCGGTATAATGGGTTTTGGTTGATAAGGGGTAGTCATATTTAGTAATGGGTATCAATACTTTTTTTGATCGAAGTAATAATAGCTGTAGTTACGTCAATGCTTTCACTATTACCACCACTTTGGTCAACAATATTACACTTATCAGTCTTTGTAGTAATGAGTTATAGTTATGATAATGCTATTACTATTACCACCACTTTGATCGACATCATTACCATCGTCAACAAGAATAGTTCTTCTCCATAACCCAAACTACCAGATTAAATAACCTCTACGGGGGTTCTTTCGGTATAAGGGTTTTGGTTGATCAGGGAGTAGTAATATTTAATAATGAGTAGCAATACATTATTAATCGTTGTAGTAATAAGAATTGTAGTTACGATAATGCTATTACCATCACCACCACTTTAATCATCCTTACCATCGTCATAACCACCACAATTCTCACCACAACCCAAACTACCTGACTGAATAACCCCGGAGGATGACATCAGTTGCAAGAGCCAGCGCAATGCAACCCGATGTCGCCGATGCCATTCATTCCGGTGATGCAATCGATCTATGGCGGGGCGTTGCAGGGCTTCTCGATTCCCTTGCACGCCCGCCGGTCTTCGCGTGGCGGCAGTAGGCGACGCTGACTCGCTTGGGGGGGGGGGGGATGGTGGAAATAGGGGGGAAGTGGTGATGAGGATGATGATGGTGGTTGTGATGATGGTGATGAATATGATGATGATGGTGATTATGATAATGATAATGGTAATGTTAACGATCACGATCATGATAATGATCTTCATGGTGACGATGATAATGATAATGATATTACTACTAGATATAACAATGAAAAATAAAATCACACATATGGAAAAGGCATTTCAGGCTCCCAATATTTCTTATAAAAAAAAAAAAAAATCCTGACTAACAACATGACCTGCCCACAGCGGACACCCTGATGCACCGGCGGTCCATGGCCGTCCCCGAAGACAGCAGCCGGCGGGCCATGGCGAGGGCGCTGTACCCGTACTCGCCCAGCGGAGACAACCAGCTGTCGTTCGTCGAAATGGACTTGATTGCCCTGATTGGTGGGTCCCGGGGCGCTCAGGGGGTTGTTTGGGGGGGGTATTTTTTTTTTTTTTTTTACATTACTACTATTTTTGTCTTTATTGATTAGGGGGGTGGAAGGTGGAGGGTATAAAAATACTATGCAATGAGACGAGATACTTTGCTATCAGGAAACAGGATTGTGAAATAGAGAGGAAAATGTCTTGAAAGCCATTTACATCTGGGATCAGGAAATTATATATATATAGGATACTTTAAAAGCTAATGCTATTTTCCCCGCGCCTCCAAAAGCACGATAAAAACAATAACTTTTCTGTCCCCAGATTTTCACGATTGAAAACAATTATATGTTTCCTGTGTCCCCCACCCTTCATACAAGACAAAAATTGTGCCAAAATGCTCACAATCAAACACGTGTTATTTTTTTTATAACCGCCACCCCCCAAAAAAGAGAGAAAAAATCAATAATTGTAATGATAATGATAATAATAATAAAGATAATAATAATAGTAATAATAATGATAATAATGATAATATTGATAATGATAATATTGTGATAATATTGATAATGATAATATTGATAATGATATAATTGATGATAATGATAATATTGATAATGATAATAATATTGCTAATAGTAATAATGATAATAATAATAATGATAATAATAATAATAATAATAATAATAATAATAATAATAGCAATAATAATAACAACAATAATAATTATAATAAAATAATAAAAAATAATGATAATGATAAAAAACACGGATCGCGGAAGACTGACCCTCCTTTTTCCAGGCGAGAAGAACAAGGGGTGGCAGTACGGCGAGAACCTCCGCACGCAGCGCTGTGGATGGTTCCCTGTGGCCTACACCGAGCTCCTGCACGAGGAAGATGACTCAGCACTCGGGTAAGTCTCCATCAAATATCCTTCGCCAAATATCCTACAATTGGTCCCTCGCCCTTTTCCGCTGCTCCTTAAATGGTCGTTGGAATCCTTAAGTGGCTTGTCTCTCTTTGTTCTCTTCTTTGTCCTCGTTTTATTTTTTTTTTTTTCTCTCTTTTGTGACGTTGCTTCTCATTCCTAATTCTATATGTCTGTTATTCAATTTTCTTCTGTTCTTCCTCTTGTGTTTTTTTCCCCTCTGGTTAAATTGTGTAATCATGGAGATTGTTCAGCGAAAGATGTACTTTCTCCGCTGCAGTTCACGTGGTTATTTATGATGATTGCTTTGTAACAAACTAGACTTTGTAAGAAGAAAAATCTAGGCTGTAAGTCTGATACATTGAGATGCTACAAATAGTTACCAACATCCCCTCTGGTATTATATTACGCTAAGTTGCTTTAGTTTCCCTCCGTGGCGTCTCTACCACAAGAACCACATCTCGACGGGTGACTTGTGCCTAATCCCCCCTCCCTCCTCCCCCCTCCTCCATGGTTGTAGCAGCACCATGGCGTCACAGCTCAACAGTAGAGGTAGTGTAGAGGACCCCCAGCCCACGCCCGCAGGTGCTGAGGAGCCGCCCGCTGGCCCCGGGCTATCCCAGCACGCCCACGCTCAGCCCTACCACCGATTCCCCTCCAAACACAGGCCCTCGATCGCTTCCATGACTCAGGTGAGTTGGCTGGAGTCTCTTCCTCAGGTAAGGCGTCCTCCTTCGGGTTTTGGGATTCAGGTCGTGGTGGTTAACGAGTTTTCCTGATTTTTTTTTTTCATTTGTACTTCTGAGACACGCTTTTAGACCCCTGTTTAATATCCATTTTGATTTGATTTTTTTCTCGAATTCATGAAGTGGATGATGTGGCACAAATGCAAGCATATTCGCGTATTTTCATTATCATATACAGATAAACACAAGGCAGCTCTGTGCGTTAGTGATCGCCAATTGTGACTGGTTTCATCTTCACCCATTATAGAAATGTAACGATGATAAAAAAACGTTTTGTCATGCGCTCAAGGCTTCATTCTCGCGACTTCCTACAGGTCCGAGCCGCTAGTCCCGCCGCCGCCTCCCATGCCAGTGCCTCCACTTCTGCCTCGAGCGTTCCAGTGCCACAGTCCTCCTCCTCTGCCAAATCATCACATGTAGCCTCCTCCCAGGAAACTCTGAGAACCTGCACCAGCATGTCCTCCAGCGTGAACACGGTGCTCTTCAACCACGCCATTCTGGAACCCCCCTCCGCCCGCGTCTCCGCCCCCACCATCAAGAAATCGACGAGCCAGCCGCAGCCGCACGCCAAGGCCGGCTCCAACCCCTTCACCTCCAGCGGCTCGCTCACCACCGGCTCCTCCATGACCCTGAGCCGCTCCTTCACGACCGGCGCCGGCTCCTCCCACCTCTCCACGCGCTTCCAGAAGAGAGGCAGCGGGAACGCGTCCTTCCACTCCAGCGACGACAGCGGCTTCAGCAACGAGAGCGGCAGCATAAGGCCTCCCATGAACCCCGAGGCTGACTACTCCGACGATGATCTCAACGGGTGAGTTGCGGTTCGCTTCCCTGCCTGTCTTCCCTCCTGCATCATGTGTCTTATGCCCCCTAGAGATAGTGTCATGTTTGTGATGTCGTCTTTTGCTTTTCATGTGTTTTGTCCCTCCTGTGTTTTCTTTTGTTTACCTTCGCCTTCCTTTGCTTTGCCAGACTTGTCCCACATTCCATGAACAGCCTCAGTTCCCGCTGGCTGAGGTCCTCCACAACCCCGCCGTTTAACACGGAGCCGGTCTCTCTCCCTTGCCTCCTCAGCCCCGAGTCCTGCCACTCCAGCGACCAACAGTCCTTCCAGTACATAGCTGGGGACCAGGACGCCACCATGACGCTTCCGACGCCAGGTCGTAAGAGCAAAAGCGACAGCGTGAAGCACAGGGACCTTTCCCTTCCCTCTCTCTCCATTGACCACTTCGTGACACTGGCCAGGAGGAAGACCACCCGGGCGTCGCCCTGCGCCCAGAAGATCGCCGCCCAGAGGGAGCGCGGCCGAAGTCAGGAGAGAGGACGCCGAACCGTGCGCAGGAGTTCGTCGCTCCTCTGCCTCGGCATGGACTCCTGCCGCGGAATTCCTGACGACCTTCAGAGTGCTGACTACGAGGACGTCTGGTCTGAGGACTGGCGACATTCCTCACTCGTTGATGTGAGTCTAGACATCCCGGACCCGCCGTCCTTCCAGCCCCCAGCGCCGCCCACGCCCGCCAGCACTAGGCCTACTGTGGATTACTCGATCCGGCCGCCGATGCCTCTGCCTCACGACGACCCCAACCCGTCGCCGAGGTCGTGCTCGAACACCAGGCAGAGTGAGTCGTCTCAGCAGAACTCGAACTCGTCCTCAGGCAACAGCACTCTGACGGGGAGCGACGAGGAGGACAACGAGGAGGAAATCTACATGGTCGTCAGCGACCACAGGTGCGAGATGAGAAAGACGCAGATGAGGAAACAAGTATCGCGCTCGCTCACGTGGGCGTCTCCCGCCCATCGGAGGTCTCCCCCGCCGCCCCCACTGCCCATGTCCAACCCCCCGTCCTCCGCCGCCTCTTCCACCTCGACAAAAGTCACGCAGATCAGAAGAAGCCACGCCTCTCCTCGACGGCCCGACGCGAGTCAGCCAAGCAGCGCACCCCACTCGACGCCGCCGTCCCAGGCCGCAGAGACGCCGCCGCTGCCCCCGAGGAGGACGCAGCGGCCCCCCTGCCCCCTCCCGAAGGAAAGCCGGAGGCAGCCTGTGGACCGGCTGCTCATGCCGTGGCAATACGGCAGCGAAGTCAACATCCTCAACTACAGCGACTACATGAACCGCCGCCTGAAGTATCCCGAGGGAGTGTCTCGGATTGACCAGCAGTCGTTCACGACTGGGAACTTATGCGGCCCGTGGTACGACCTCTGGGCGGACGACCCCTCGGTGGCAGATGTATGATCCCTGTGCCTTTAGGTCGCGGGAAAGACCTTTAGTCACATTTTGTACATATGACAAAACTGCTCACAGAAGGCCAAAAAAGAAACTAGGACTTACAGTGTTCTTGCTGTGCATGAATACAGCTCTTTCTTTTTTCAGAAAGTTTTTGTGCTATATTCTTGTATAGAAGTAGAGTCTCTTCTCATTCGCAAGTTCAAAAGATTTTGTATATATATATAGAATTTATTGTGAATGTAGCCTTATAGGGACTGTCTTTATAATTTTACTCAATATTTTTGTGTATATTTTATGCATAATATATGTTTAAGTTCTGTTTAGTTAAGGATATTCAAATCTGTTTGTTCTACTCACTGTATATAGCACGTGTAATTCCAAAAGTATATTTCCCTTAGTTACCCCTTCCTATGACAGTTTTCTTTGATCGATGTTTGCGTATGTGCATGGATAACTTTTATATTCCTTTCAAATTTACTTTTCTTGGATTGCGTCCCAATTTCCTTCTTAATATATACTAATTATTTCTTGATAATTCATTATCATAAAAATGCAATTCATTAAATTAACTAATGAAATTGTTCTAATTCTGTTTTGTAAAAAAAAAATGACAGAACACAGATTACCAAAACTATTCATAAGTAACGTCTCAGGCACGTTTGTAAGATATTGCCATCGATGATTCTTGTTTTCTATAATAATATTTTCCAATCTTTGTGGAACGCCATAGTGTCACGACGACATCCAATTCTTCTTTCAGGGTTTCAGTGGAGATTCAGCAAGAGCAGGCACGCAAAACCTTAAATGCACATAAAAAGAGAGAAAAGAAAACGCATAGATAGTGCAGTGTTCATGGATTTCATGATTAAATAATATCCTGTGAAAATGTTGTACAGTGTCGATGTATTGTTCGCTTTTATAGTGTCAGAAAACAAACAATCCTATCACATACGTACGTTTAAAAGAATTATTCCATTATCATATAATGTCTAACTTTGGAAGTATAGTAAAGTTAGAACATTATAATTTTTACTCTCATTCGCTGTACATATCATTGCTATGAGTGTTGCTTCGGCACTAGAAATAATACTCAAGACAGGAAATCTATTGCTGAAAGGAACATGCTTGCGGAATGAAAACAAAACAAAACAATACATATATCGCATAATATCTGTGAAAAAAAGAAAGTTTATGAAAGTATCTGTGTCGTTTGAAGTTTGTGAATCAACAGAGGCCATGCTCACTGCGATACAGTTACAATGGACTGTGTGGTTTATCCTACAATCAACACATTTCCGACAAAAGTACCTCAGTTGTGAGCCAGGACAAGGACACTGCACGTACTCTAACCTTTTCAAAAGGTAAGAAAAGGAACGAAGAAGGAAAATGATAATAATAATAAGAAATGATGATAACAGGAATCATGATAATAACAAAGGACAATCACGTTGTGGTCACGGACTAAAGATTTCATTAAGAAGAATTTATAAATGGAGAAACCCAAAGGAAAATATGTGAAGAGTTGTGTTGTCTTTTCCTGGTGCTTTACAAACCACGAGTTCTGTCTTCCATCAGGGGCTGTGTGACGTCATCAGGGCTTATGTTACGTCATCAGGGATTGTGTGACGTCATATTAGTAAACACAGCGAAAGACTGGCGTTTGATTTGGTGTTTTGCAAAGATAACAGAAAACTGCTACGTTCATCGCTTCTTTGTGTCGCTTTTTCCACTTCTTTCCACTTCATTTGTCCATTTCTTTCTATAGCTTTTTATCCTCGTGTAAATTGTTCTTTGATATGTACTTTGAGGGATATTAATAGGTCTATGATAAGAAAACAATACTAAATATACATTAATGTCACTTATCAAACCTCAGACATTCCAGGAATATTAAATGTAAATTATATGAAATCAGTTAAGGGTTATGTGTCTAAAATAGACACCAGAATATTGCCTGTGATCATAGTACGCTAAAAGATAATGCACCTAAAGTGTACTTACATATTTTATCACTTAAACCCAGACCACTTTAAATTCCGTCATAAATGTATTAGTCTCACCTTAAAACATTACTTCCCACAGCACTTCAGGTTCCGTTTTCTACCAGTGCAACTCTCACGCGGAGACTTTCACATCTTGTTGAATAATCAGGTGATCGTCTTATTATTGTACAGTTTTATGTATAGATTAACAAAACTATGTGAAACCATATATTATAGGTTTCCCATTCTGTAGAATTTAGATATAAAGGAAATAAACATACCCCAAAAGCTCTCTTGTTTTATTTTTTATAAAATTATCACATACAAATCCGTATATTTTAAATGGTAATAAATTCTCTAGATTTTTAAACAACGTAAGGTATTTGCAACATATATTCCTCTTTAGTCCTAAAACAAAACAACAGATCATAACATTTTCTAATTTCATATCTACAGACATGCAAAACGGATTTACATATTCACACATCACATAAGATAACCATTATATGCTGTGATTATCTAAAGCCGTTCCACTTTTATAAACTTTTTTTTATCTATTTATTAACTCCGTATGTAACATAATCTTATCAACCATATATAGCACTTCAATGTTTGTACAAACAACGATTATATAAATTGTGGTTGTTGAAGTCAGTAAAAAGTCCCCTGCCTTTTAAATGTAGAAAAATATATACCGTTTACCATGTTAGCGTTTTGCATACTAAGGGCAGGGTGTAGAAAGAGCAAATACAAATAGTGTTGTTATTAAGTGATTAATTATCTCGACACAGTGAGTGATGTGTGTGTGTGTGTGTGTGTGTGTGTGTGTGTGTGTGTGTGTGTGTGTGTGTGTGTGTGTGTGTGTGTGTGTGTGTGTGATGAGTGAGTGTGAGTGAGTGAGTGAGTGAGTGAGTGAGTGAGTGTGAGTGAGTGAGTGAGTGAGTGAGTGAGTGTGTGTGTGTGTGTGTGTGTGTGTGTGTGTGTGTGTGTGTGTGTGTGTGTGTGTGTGTGCGTGCCAAAGCGCGGACTTGTGTATGTGTTCCTTTTGAACTTATACCCTTTACGCGTGATAAGTATACTGCATTCACCTGAAAATCTAGACAAGCGTAAACACCAACAAACACAAACGCTAGAACACAGCCAAAATCATAAGAAAAAACATGTCAGGGTTTTATTTTTTCACGCTGACTGCGTTTAACTGTAGAAGAGAAGACATATGTAATCTGGGACTCCTTAACTATATATGCCTGTTAGATTTAGAAGCTAAAGAATATTAGTACCCGAAGACAACCAATGCATTGCCATATTCCTCAACAACCTACGTAAAACTATCAACTTAACTGTTCGAAAAATGAACCAAGATGTTTTCTTTTTTTAAGACTACACCTGTAAATCAATACAAGGAAGGAAATGACAACGGCTATAAGAGTCCTATAAGTCCTCTGTAGAGTCCTGTAAGCACCTATCAAACCCTATTACCCTATAATTCATAGTAATTATCTAAGGCAACGTTCAGGCCACACTGTTCAGCCATAATCACCGTTTCATGTAATGGATAGTTTCGTTAAGGTAGTTTGGAGAGAGACAGCAGGGCCTTAGAGACATAAACTCGATTCTCTTTGTAAAAGGAACCTAAGAGAGGTTCGACTGAAAGCCCCTGGTTCGAAGAAGGGAGGAATCATCACGGTAGTTCACGAGAAGAAGGTCGCCAGAAGTGTTCGCAAAAATATACAGTCCATCGGCAAGAGACACTTCTGGGACTAGCACACATATAACCAAAATAATGTACAATTGTGCAGACGGGCTTAATACTGTCAACAAATACAGGCACCAAACAGGTTTAACAAGAAGCAGTTTTAGGTTTCGCCGTCGCACTCTCACGCAAACTTCAAGTTACAAAAGACTATTAAAAATATCGTACTTGAAAGACACATTATGGAGGGGAATGGATACACTGAAGACACCCACAGAGTAAGATTTTTTTGTCTTAACGTTTCGATTTCTTGAAGGAGCACTTTTGAAGGGATCCGAGTTCAGTGAAACCAACTGTTCATGGAACCAACTGTTTGCATACTCGTAACACAATACTGTTATTTCATTACTCTATTTAACGTTTTGTTTAGTGTTATAATCTTATTTAATATCCCACTGAGGATATTTATACGGTATTTATACTTCCATAAACACGAAGAACAAACTGTCTTTCGATTTATGAAAATCAGTAAGAAAAAAAATCCTGAAAAAGAACTAAAAATGGGATACTGATTTCATTTGCCCGTCGAGGGTCCGGGAGACTTCATTATCTCTAGTCTTTAGGATTACACTGACTTTTCTTTATCGCAGTGCAGTCTACCCCACAAAGCTGCTGACACTGATACAGTATCGTAGAGCACGGGTCAAATTTACTTAAGCTTCGGCTATTATACTTAACGTCAGAGTCACCCAAATAAGGCTATTTTGTTTACCTTTTGTTAATAAACATTATTCAGTTATTATTCTTTTTGTAGCTGTGCCATGCAGCCCGAAGAAGACCTATGGTACCTGTGCCCCGAAAGACGTCCTCCGTCGCAACGCAGCTCCTCAGAGTCCTACGGCGCGGCGGCGATCGCCTTCTCGGCGCGCCTTCCCTCCGACATCTCCCTCTGGACCGCCTTCTTCAGCCGCACTATATCGTCGTGCATCAACTTGGCCTCCTTCTTCGCGCCCATGGCCTTGCCCTTCCCTCTGGCGTGGGGGGCGTCCTTCTTCGGGCCCGGCGGCGCGGCCTTCCCCTGCCCCCTCCCGCCTCCTTGCTTCCCCTCCCCCCCTGCCGTCGAGGTCTTCTTCGCCTTGTTCTTCTTGTTTTTCTTGTTTTTCTTGGACTTCTTGAGCTTGCGGAAGTAGTGGGCCTTCCTCTTGGGGAACGACTTGCGGATGTTGGGCACGAAGGCCGGCTGCGAGGGCGCCGCCTCCTCCAGGACGCCCAGCGCTGCACCTGTGGGGCGGCAGCGTTGTCAAGAGGCGGTCGAATGGACTAAGACATGAATGGGAAATCACAAAAGTAATTTATCAAAGGCATAGGTATCTACATACAACACACACCCGCACATATATATATATATATATATATATAACAACAAAAATGCCACAGATCATAAACCATAAAAACAACCCAAGAACTAAACGGACTCACCCAGGTCAGCGTCCTGCTCCTCTGCGCTCGGGACCGGCACTGCCCGCTCGCTCAAGTTCCTGACCTCCTCCGTGTACATCCGCTTCTGCACATGCTGAAAGGGGGCGGGGCTTCGGTTACTCTTGTGGACAGAATCGTATTCATGTTGACAGATGTA